AAAAAGAGCAAGCTGAGAGAAAAAAAAAGAAAACACCCAGAAAATTGGGTCCAGCCAAGTGCTAGCCCAGAGCTTACTACCCCATGCCTCAGGCCCCATCCAGAGCCCCCAGGAGGAGAGACCCACTGCAGGCTTCCCCATGAACCAGTACCACAACCCTGGAGCCCACCTCAACTTCAGGGAAGGCCTTCCTCTCCCCCAGATTCTGGAAACCAGAGCTTGCTGACAGGTTTTGGAGTAGGCCAGGCAGAGCTGTACCGGCTGGAAACTCCAGGTCCTGAGCTTCCCCAACAGATAATGGCTGCATTGGGGCAGGGGAGTGTGCAGGAACGGGGCCATGAAGATGGTATCCAATAAGGCTAAATTACCACAAACACTCAGGCTGGATGTGGGTGAGGCTCTGCCAACCAGGGCTGTGGGGCTTGGGAGGGGGGTTGTCCCAGGGAGTAGAGAGATGAATACCGACTTCAGGGGTCCGAGCCACTGCAGGGTGGCAATGGAAGAGGACACAACTGGCCAGCCTGTCATAACCAGCAGAAGAGTTAACACTGTCATGAGGCTCTACAGTTCCAGCAAAAGGAAAAGGGGAGATGTTCCCCCTTTGAGCTTGCCAAACAGAATCTACTCTAGGAAGGGGCAGCACAGAATGGCAACGCCTGCAGGGCTGGCACGGCCTGGAGTTCAATAAGACATAGCAACTAGCCAGGTCCCAGGTCATCTGAGGACACCCACCACTCCCCCCTACACAGCCCCAGACCCAGTCTTGACCATTTCTCAGGGGATCCCCAGCTGGCTCGGCACCACATCCTTTTCTCCCAGAACCCCTGAAAGGCTCTGTTCTCTGGGCATCCCCCAGAGTCCACAGGGACATACCCAGTTTCCAGAACCCCAGTGTCTGTGCAAGAACCTGGCTGGCAGAAAACCCAGACCACTTGTGTCCCTCACCAGAATGTCCCAGCCCCAGTCCAGGCAGAACACTTCTCAGAGCCACTGTCAGTCCACAGGTCAGGTTCAGGAAATACCTAAGTACCTGAGGCTGCCACACCTTGGCCCAGTGGATCCTTCAAGAGAAGATGTGCAAACTCCTAGTCCTCTTGCAATGCCCACGTGAGTCACCTCCCTCCAGCTCCCGCCATGGACACCACCAACCTGGCTTATTGGACACCAGTGGGGTATGGTGCAGCACATACATGTACATGTCTCATTCCTCACTCCTCTCCTGGAAGGGGCAGAATCTAATCCACATCTGGTTCCCCTGAACCTCATACTGAACCAGGGGCCAAGGACCCAAAATCAAGTACTAACACTGCTCATCCTTGAGGCATTCTTATAAGAGAATGTCACACAATTAAACAGAGAAACGGAGAGATTAAGTCTGCTACCTAAGGCTACACAGCCAGAGAGGGAGGGGAAGGAATCCAGACCCAGGTAGTATTTGTAGGGGAAGAGAAGAAGCTAGTCAGGGGAACAGCTGTCAAGACAAGCTCTGGGTAGAATAAGAACTGGGGTATTTTTACAAAAGCCAGTGATTTACCCACCAACTTCTCATTCCCAGGTCTCAGACAAAGGCCTGGGAACAGGATCAGGGCCCTCAGCCAGAGGAGCCAGTAGCTCCCAGCCCATCCCTATGCCACATGCCAGTTATAGGAAACATAAAAAGGCCGTCTGCAAAGAGCCTTGGTCTGGTATGAGAGAGGCAGGGCTGTCCACTGGAAAGCCAGAACCATGATTTGGGGCTATTCTTAGCAAACCACTGGCTCCCCTCCCAGAGGCCCAGCAGGCAGCAGGCCCAAGCTTCTACACACCCAGCCTGCCATTTCCTGACCCTGCCCGGAGGTCCCCCAGGGCCAGGAGGGGCTGGTGGGCTGGGAGGACAAAGTACTCCAACTTTCAAATCAGAGCTGCCCAGACCCCCAGAACAGGCACCTGGCTGCTGAGGAAGCCCAGGAGTCTTGGCGACCCAGGGAGGCTCTGATCAGTGCCCCCATGCTGACTGAGTGCCACACGTCTTCCATTGACTTTCACCCATTAACCCTCCAACATCCCCAAGGGCTGGAGTTACTGGCCCCACTTAAAGATGAGGCAATAAGACATGAAGTAACTTGCTTAATGTTACAAGCAAGGTCACACAAGCGATTAATGTCACATTGTATCTAGGATCTGGGCTGGCTCCCAGCTGCCAAGTTGGGCTAGAAAGGCCCCTGCCCAGTCCAAGCCCAGAGTAGGAAGGGGCAATGGCTCATCACAGACCCATTTGTATATCTGCAGAAAAGGAGGGAGGGGGCCAGGGAGATCCATCCTGGCCAGACCTGCAAGCTTGGGTCCAACAGGAAAATCCCACAGCCAGGTTCTTCCGAGATCCTGGGGCCACCTCGCCCAACTTAGGGAAGCCCAGAGGGCCAGAGAAGGGAATAATCAAAGATTCAAAAATCTCCTGTTGGGGGGCTGGGAAGGTGGCTCAGTGGTAGAGTGCTTGCCTTGCATGCATGAGGCCCTGAGTTCGATTCCTCAGCACCACATAAGCAAAAAGAAAAAAGCCGGAAGTGGCGCTGTGGCTCAAGTGGTAGAGTGCTAGCCTTGAGCTGAAGAGCTGAAGGACAGCCACCCAGGCCCAGAGTTCAGGCCCCACGACTGGACCCACAAAAAAAAAAAAAATCTCCTGTTGGTGCCAGTGGCTCACACAGGTAATCCTTGCTACTCAGGAAGCTGAGAACTGAGGGTTTCAGTTTGAAGCCAGCTGGGGCTGCCTTCAAAGTCTATAGACTCTTCAATTAATCACAGAATTAATTAATCAGGAAGTGGAGCTGTGGCTCAAGTGGTAGAATGCTAGCCTTTGAACCAAAGGAGCTTAGGGACACAGTCTAGACCTAGAGTTCAAGCATCAGGATGGGAACAGGGAGGGACACCACCTTCTGTTGGTGGTGTTCTGTAATTTGCAGGATAACTCAATATAAAGCAGGAAGTGGAGCTCATTGGGGTCCCCAAATCAACCCCAAAGTGGGAGTCTAAAAATGAAGCCACATAACAAGAGCCCTTGTCTCACCACCACCTCAAACAGGACAATGTCTGGAACACAGGGGTCACACATAGGACCTGTGATGACACAGCAAAGTGTCCCTCGGACTTCATCTCTCAGCCCCCTCCCCCCACCCCCTCCCCCCCAACCCTGATACCTCTGTTGAGTATCTCCCTTGGGAGCCTAGGTGTGCTCAGGTCAGCTCACCTCCCTGTCTGTGTCCTAGTGGGTCCACTTGTGTATCTGCCTATACTTACACATCTGCCTCCTATGTGGGTAGACTCAAGTCCCAGGATGGTATAGACCCTTTCCATACATGTCTATGGCTCAGATGTGGGTCCCGCTGACGTGTTCGTATTCAACTGTCCCTGCATGTTTCTATGTCCCTACACTGCCTGTCCATCACATTGTCTTCCCACGCCCAGTCTCCTATACACACATGACCAGTTCTTCTCTGATTCTGCCCACACGATCTCGTCTCTACTTGCATAGGCATCCCAACCTGTGCCTGGGTGACCTGATCTGTGTGTGCACCTGTTGGAGGAGGGTGGGTGTGTTACCACAATGCTGGCCAAGGGCTTCTGCAAGCTCAGCAACTCCCACTCCCAGAGCAGAACCCAAGGCCATGGGCACGCATGTAATGCCACCTCCACAAAGGGTGCTCTGCCAGGGACAAGGGGGAAGGGCTGAGCTGCAGATACAGCAGGCGCTGGAAGAGAGATCAGAGCTGTCCCAGGCTCCACCCTGCACAGTCCAACCCCAGGGAAAGGAGCGCACCCTAGCACCTTGGGTCTGTCTGCCCTCACAGGAAACCACGTCTGGTCCATGGCCTCCCCTCTCTACCCCCAGGCATGGAAGCTCTTCAGAAAGGAAGTGAGGACTTCCTCCTGCTGGCTTAATCTCCTATAGGGCTGGCTTTAAAACCCCCAAGCCCCAGGAGTCCCAGAGCAGCTAGCAGAGTCCTATACTCAGTCTGACTGGAGAAACCAAATGGATTTTGAGCCCCTAAGACCAAACAAAATCTGGGAGTAGAGGTAGGACTTCCAAAACTCTCCATAGCCTTGGGAATAGAGGTCCTGACAATGTAGATGATAAAGGAGGATGGGATGCAACGAGACCCCTGAAACACATTCACAAGGCTGCCTGAGACCTAGACCCCAGTATGGCAGCAGTAGGGACACCTGCATCACTGCACCAATGACCCATGCCTACACAAGCCTCCTGGCATTCCCTCTGACATCAGTCCGGGATTGGCATCAAAACTCTTCATCCAAGACGTCTTGTGTTTGTCTTGTCTTCCCCCTATAGGGCCAAGCCACTTAAGGATAGAAACGCGGGGGGTGGGGGGGGTCTTCCCACCACCCCAACCTCCCCTGACCTGGCTCAGAGCCCAGCATCCAACAGGTGTTGAGTCACTGGGGCTATATGCTCTTCAAGGCTGATGCCAGGGACTCTGGTCAGGATAAGAGAGCTGCCCCCAAGCTTCCCGAGCCAGACCGGGGGCTTTTCTCCCATGTCTGACTTCTCTGGGCAGCACTCCAACCATCCTGGTCTCGGAAGTTGAAACCCGGATGGTTCCCCCTTCCCGCCCCCCAGAACAGAAAAAGAGGGTCCCACAGAACCAGCCATAAAACCTGTGCCCGCTAAGGGCCTCAAGCGCCCTACAAATGATCCTGGAGACGCCATCTCTGGACTTCGCAGTAAACCCACGCTCCCGGCCTAACCATTAAAGTGGAGGTGTCGCAGTCCACGTCGCCCCCAGTTCAAAGGGGAACCTCAGGTCAGGGGTCCAGCCCAGAGGCCCACGTACAAGCCCCTGGAAAACCGCTCTCTTCGGTCTGCGGGGTCCCGCCTGCCCCAGGACGAGTTTGGGGGAGTGGAGAGGGGGGGTCCCAGGACCTCTCCTCGCCGGGGGCTGGGTAGTGAGTGCATGGCCTCCGATCCGCCCTCCCCGAGCCGACCCCGGGCCCGCACGCGTCGGTACCTGCCAGCCCGCAGCGCCCGGGGACATTCGTGCAGCAGTGGCCGGCGCGCCGCGCCCGAATTGCGGGCGCCGAGTCAGGCAGTGGCGGGGCGCTCCCCGCGCGGGCTCCGTCTGGATCCCCGACTCCCCCGCTCCTCGACTTCCTCAGCCCATCCGGGGACGGAGGCGGCTCCCGCGGCAGGCGGGGCGGGTGCTGCACGGGGCGAAAGCGCG